TTAAATCCATAAAATATTCTTGATACAGATCCTCGTTATACGGCGACATTTTGGCAATCCAAATTCCAATACCTCGGAACACGTCTGGCATTTCTACTTCCGACCATCCCGAGATAAAAGTTAAACAGAACGCGTCAGCCGCATCATTTAGAGTGAAACTTCGGGGATACGTCCAATTCCTTATGAAGTGGATAAAATTTTAGCCGATGGTCGATTTTGCCATAAACAAACCCGTGCATGCATACACCATTTTTTCGTGAACGTTTTAAGCCATCTAAAATACCTTCCTATGTAAAGTGTGAATATTGCTTAAGATGGAAGGGAATCGATAGAGCAAAAAAAATGTTCTGGCTCTTGCTCATCACGTGTCGAGGCACTCGACGAATCGAGAAAAATCTTGCCGATGTCGATTAAATCTACATCGGAGAAGTAAAAAGATGACGGTGCTCGTATTTTTATTATCGCCAACGACTTCAACAGTGAGGATGAGAACACCCTTGCTGAAGAAGGAGATGACCTGTTAGAGGTGCATTGAAATGCATACTGCAACAAAATCGTAGCGTCAGCGGACGATTTACTGCCGGCACGAGAAGAAGCAGACCGTTTCGTGAAAAAATACACCGCTTACGAGTTTGACCGAGAAAAATGGAACACTGCGAAACCTGGAAGAGCAAACATTCTTCTATTCAACGTCGGAGATTTAATTCTTCTGTCTACGGTATTTTTACCTAAGCATGTAGTCAATTATGTGGGTAGTAGTTTACTACTTTTATAGTATAGTGACCCGTTTCATGCAATACATTACAGGTGCAATGAATACACAGTCCGATTGTCTCGCAGGACGCGTACACGTTCTATGTTGTGCGTCAGTAGTCTTCGCCCATGCTATCAGCCCGATTCCTTTTCTTCGTACAAATACAAACGCAACGCTCAAGAACATCCAAGAGCCTTCTTCGGTCCCGAGCCGATATTTCAATATGGTTTTGTATCGCCACATATTGGCGACAAATATCACCCACGTCGTAGCAAAAGGCTTGACGCCTCTGCTCGTTCTATAAATGGAAGAACGCGAGCTCCAACTGGTCGGATCGATAACGGCGGATGCATTGCACCCACCCCTCCAATTGTAGATTAAATAGTCTTATTTCTATTTTTCGGTGCAATCGCACAGATCGCTTTAGCCTTGCTTGAAACGATTAAACTCCGCCTGCATATCCAACAAATATTCGGAGTTAATCTATTTGCCCCGACCACAGCCATTGGTGTCTCGCACGGTAGTCAACGCTTTCTAGAGGAGCGAATCATAAACCACCGCGACATATAGAAGTAGCGAACCAGTTATCTTGGTCGCTATCAGCCGTCTCACTACAGCTGGTAGCCTTTGCGTATAGCTTATGTATGACGTTATAGGTCTCTTCAACTCTTACAGCAAGACACATCCGACGGCTCATAATGAATGTCAGACAACATGCACCCACGGCGCTGGTAGAGCGATTGCAGGTTAGCGATCGCATCTTGCATCTCAGAAGAGATGTGCGTCCTCTATCAAAGTGAAGAAAGAAGATACATTTTCATTCGGATGCGTTGAGTGGTGTCGAAACAACAGGGACATATATTACCCCACGTGAGTCATGGAATGACTGTTTTACGGGACAGATGGTGAAACATGACCTTTGCACAAAGATTGTTTTTTTTTTTAAAAATGACACGTGCTGCGTCAAATTTTAGAAGCCAGGCATTATGCTCAATGTGTTGCACATTGAATATGTAGGAGTTCCACAACTGCAGCAACGAGCTTTTGTCCTACATGTTGTTGTCGCTGTACCAACGATGCTAAAGAAAAGCATCAAGACAAATGTCTTATTTAGTGCAAATGTTTCGAGCTGATGTAGAGGCCGTGCAACAATTTTGCTTTGAAGAATAAGATTCGATGATGTTTACTTATCTTGCCTAAAAAGTCATTCACAAGCCTTTCTGGTAGTACCCAAGGCTTCTGTTCAGGGGCTAGACACAGCACATTGTCGTTTAGATCCTCCTGCACGGTACCAACGGAAGTCATGATACCACTTATTTTACGGTGCAAATCATCTCCGTATTCACTAGTTGGAGAATGCGCGGTAGCAGACGCAGGGGGGGGGTGAGTCAGAATGCCTATCATCCAATATCAACATACTATTGTAGTGTCCATAATTATCAATACCCGCGTGATTCCTTTCATAGGCTCGTATTGAACATCCCCTTCAGACTATTGCAATCAAGTGTATTTTTCAAGTCGAAGCCACCGTCCATCTCCCCGAATAAATAAGCTTGACTTAGGAGCCACCATGATAAGCACGTGATGACTCACCGCGTGCATTTGCAGCAACTGGTGCTGCAGGAAGAGCTGCAGCAGAAGCAGAAAAAGCATAATCTGTCGCAAGAGGCTGGAAATAATCAAGAGCAGCTGCTTTAGAACCTGCAGATACCTTCTTAGCAGATTTTGCTGTGCATCACAAATATTTGCTCACCACGTAAGAAATTAAGTATTGATAAAATTGGACCTAAGTAATTGCTTCCTGTCCCTGATGTGCTTTAACGGTAATCACATTAACATAATAGTAACTAAGTGACTATCGTGTAGGGATGATGATGTATCATGGTGAGCCTGCTACAAGTAATTAACCTTGCTAATTGTTTATTATGATATTGTCGTGAAGGTTGATCATGTTCGTGAATATTACGGTGGGTGGTATTCAAAAACACCCACCGATTGGCTGTTATGGGTCATCATGATATTCAGCTGTAGCGATCCAATTAAGGATCGACTTGAGCGATGAATGGTGAGCAATACTTAAGCATACATTTGTCTGGATGAATAAAGTAAAGTTAGGGCTAAACCATAGGTTAATCATTAAGAATCCATTCTATTTTATTTTGTTTAACTTTACCCGCATGTGTTCAGCTCCTTTGTGTTCTTTCTTTCTCTGCCGACTTTTCAGAGGTAGCGAGGCAGCACTCACGAAACATTCGCCTGATATTAGCCCCACACTGGTTGTTAGCGCGTTGCTCACGTGCCCCGTTACACTGTTCTACTGAGTATTGGCAACCCCATAAATTTTATACAATGATTAATGCATGCGAAATGTGCCTTGCATGTGTTTGCGATTCACAGATGTACACAGTAATGCTGCGATACGCAGTGCCAATAAAAACGTATTATGCATTGTAATGTATAAAGTCGTACTCTACAGTACGCTCTTTGTTTGCTGAAGCGTTAAGAATTAGACTACACGCCTGGAACAATGTACTTTTTTCTATGAGGCGCAGTTCTTACGTAAGCAACCTATCGAAATAGTCTTAATGTTTTCTGACCCACCGTTGCTATCCTCACTTATAAACCTTCAGATAGAATCGATAAGCGTGGAGTGTAACGGGGCACCCTGAAGCTTGTACTGGTGACAGTACAAGCTACTTATTCTGATAACAGAATAAGGCGGTGCCTCGTAACTTCACGTACACTCGTACGTGCAGAGGAAGACGGTAAGAAGAAGCGAGTACTCGGTTAGAGTAAAAAGTAGAACTGTATTTATAATAGTTAATGTCTGCAATAAATCACTATTTATCTTCATCTAACTATGTCTAAATACAAATGTGTAAATCAGTTATCTGCTCACCACTCATTGCGTGCGTCTGTCGTGGCGCGTCTTCGTTGGTTGATATAATGGCCTATATCAACCAATTAGGAACTACTTGAAGTGCTACAGAATATTGTCCTTATGACAATATTCTGAGAATATAACTCTTATAGTTATATTCTATTAACAATTTCTTATAAATTGTTATGTAACGATTCACCCCGTTACATCACCCCCCCTTAACCATCAGTCACTTTAGTGACTGATTGACTAGTGGATACTCGTCCCAAATCATTTGGGACGGGGTTTGCACTTGTTGGTCCGCGTCCACTTTCCAACATCTCATCGCATGGTAAACAAGCCCATGCGATGCGCGAGCAAGGCCGCCGAGAGCGCGTCTGCACGTCTCTGTGCGGACGCCGAAGCAGAAACTACAGCAACTGATGTCCCATCGGTTGCTGAATCGACTCAGCCTGTATCACCTGGTGATGCAGGCGCTGGTCATGAAGACACTCGTGTCTTCACAGAGTACGAGCTCGGTGTCTCGTACTCTCCTGATACGGATGACGGATCCGTATCGACGGCAATTGAATCCAAGCCGCCTGCCAAGCGTGGCATGGACGATGCTTTGTGTCGCAGCATCTTTGGTTCATCTGATGAGTCAGATGAACCATCGCCGAAGCGAAGGCGCCTCGAGGTCGCGAGACTCGGGCGCTAATAGTGGTGTCGTTTCTCCAATGGACACCACTTCACAGCGAGGTGCCAGTACTTCTGTCGGCACGTCGCAGGAAGAGCGGGACCGCAATGTGTTGCGTCTCGCTCCAGAAAAGAAGGCATGGATGCCTCCTAAATCTGTCATGGATCACTTGTCGGCGACGACGAGTGATCGTTATCGAACACGATTGTTCGATTCGTCAAGGATTCATCACCTTGACCCCAGCGCGAAAGACTATCGCGCTGAACATGAGTTCTTCATCGATGCTTTCTTCAGACATCGATGGTACAGTGGGAATCACAAACGTGATGGTCCCTCACTACTTCAGGCGTGGAACGCCTACATCCATAATCTCGAGGATGTAGGTCGTGACGCTTGGAACGACAAACTTATCAAAGCTCGTGATAAGTTTGAAAAGCGAACCCCGACAGGTGCACGCTACAAGCTGCATCGTCTGTCAAGGGAGAAAGGATTACCCTGCCTCTCTTGGGGAGACTCGTGCCCATGTTGTGTGAACAACTCTGCACGAGCACCTAAGGAGGCTTACCTCCTTACCAGCCCGTGGTGGCGCGTACGTGTCTCTACTGAGATGTACGAAGGGATTGACAACCTGAAATCCCTTTACGACCGTGCCGGGAAGACTTTCTCCGGCGGTCCTTCTGCGGCACAGGATGTGTCGCGTCGTACTGCTCGACCAGACCCAGTACGTCAACCATCAATTGGGAGCGGGGGCTCCCAAGAATCCCAGGACGGGGGATAGCCGCGCCACCGGACGAGGTAACTCGTCCGACGTCCGTTCACGTCGCGGTGGTTCAACAGCTGCTCTACTAGATAGCGCTGGCCACCGCGAGAGTCCTCTAATGGAGGTGGAGGAGGAGGAAAGACGCTCTCCACACGATCATGTGGATCGGTGTGTTCCCGAGAGCTTCTTTGATCGCGTAACGCAAGGGTTACGCGACGATCTCGAGCATGAGCGGAATAGGCGTCTCCAGATGGTGGACACTGCCTCGAAGCATCGAGCTGAGTTTGCCTTTGCTCAGCTTGAGAACGAGAGATCTCTGACATCTCTTCGTGACGAGCTAAGGGTAGCTCGTGGGATTGTTGATCGGTCTCGGGCTGAGATAACTGCTCTTCAGACCCTTGTTGATGCCCACCATCGGGAGCACAAGGCTCTCTGCGAGATGCTTGAGCGCAAGGGCGTTCTTCATCGGAAGAAGCAGCGTACTGATGGTACGGCTTAAGCCGACCAACGTAAAACGTGGGATGCGTTCGCATCTTACGTGGTAACTCGATCGTGTATGCATTGCCTAGGCGGTGCAATACACGAAATGGGCCAATGTACTTGGGTAGTAGTTTACTGCTACCCAAGTTAGTCACTACATGTTTTGGTAGATTAACCGTAGACAGTAGGACTAAGTCACCTTTATTAAATAAAAGAGTGTTTGCCCTTCCATTCTTGTCAGCGTTTTGCTTTTTGCTTATCCACCGCTTCGGCGATGGAGTCTTGCACAAAACGGACTACCGTTTCACGAGCCAGTATGAACTCATCTGATGACTCGTTAGCTTCAGTGTGCTGTGAGCGCACTGCAGCGACAACAACCTTTTCTTCAGTGAGGGCTTCCGCACTCTCACTGGGATCATTGTCTTCAGTGAGGGCTTCCGCACTCTCACTGGCATCATCTTCTTCGATATCGATGTTATCGATATCGGCATCAAACGCAATGACTTCTTCGTCAGAGCGTGATGAGCGTGAACCAAATCGGTTTTTGCTCGCGCGAGTCCCTCCCCCTTAAACCAGAGTTACACTCTAGTAAGGTGGGTACACGCGGATGGCGCAAGCCATTCACGTAAAACGGTGTATGTGTCGTGGACGCATGCACCGAGTTGTTGATGGCAAACTCTATCATTGGCAAAAAACTCACTCCAACTTTTAAAGGAGTGTACGTATCCTCGAAGTATCTCTTCGAGGACACGGTTGGCACGTTCCGTCTGACCATCTGACTCTGGATGATCAGATGTTGACATCTTCAAGCGCGTTCCGAGTGATTTGAACACGGAACGCCAGAAATCAGCAGTGAATCGTGGATCTCTGTCTGATACGAGTTCACGGGGCAACCCATGAAGTCGGAAGATGGTGTCAATAAAGACACAAGCACAGCCACTTGCCGTGATTGTCTCTGGTACAGCCACAAGGTGTACCATTTTGCTGAATCTGTCAACAAATACGAGAATACCCGTATTCCCGCGTGCGTCTTTGGGTAACCCGGAAGACGAAATCCATTGAGATGGATTCCCAGCACTCAGCCGGAACCGGTAGAGGCTGTAAAGGTGCACGCAGTGAAGGACTTGACTTCACTCGTTGGCAGACTTCGCATGCGCGAACATACTTTCGCACAAACTGATACTGGCGGGGCCAGTAAAAGTCTCGACTTACCGTGAGATATGTTTTCTCTCGGCCACGATGTCCTCCTATAGGAGCATCGTGATACTCGAACATGATCCGCAAACGCAGATCAATATCATCTGGAATGACAACACGTGGTGTGTCACCAGAAACGGCTGTATAGTACAGTAAACCGTTACGAGTAGTGTATCGATCTGATGCAGATCGATACGCAGACGACAATCGTTTCAACGATTCTCGAGATGGTTGGGAGAGATGTGACAACAACTTCACTATCTCACCATCTTGGGCGTATGCCCGCCTCACATCATCATACAACGTTGTAGATGGAACTGAGGACGTCATAACCGCAACAGTGACTGTCTCACTGTTGGGTTTCGCGACTGTTTCAAAGTCGGGACGACGTGAGAGTGCATCAGCGACGACATTAAGTCGTCCTGGTTTGTACTCGACCGTAAAGTTGTATTCTGCAAAGAATGACAACCACCGCGCCATTCGTTGTGAAAGGTGCGGGCTGTTCACTGCCGTGCGTAAGGACGCATGGTCAGTGTAAACAACGAAGGGTCTATCTCCTAATAGATAGACTCTGAACTTCGCGAGTGCATACTTCATGGCAAGGAGTTCCTTGTCATGCACTGGATAGTTCCGCTCAGCTGGTTGCAGCTGACGCGACTGATAGCAGACGACGCGTTCAACGCCTTCAAGATCGTACTGCATTAATGCACAGCCGATTGCGAAATCGCTGGCATCACAGACCACATGAAATGGCCTGTCCTGATCGGCTATTGCTAGGACTGGGGATTGTATCAAGCTCTGCTTGATACCCTCAAAGGAGCGTTGACATTCAGCGTTCCATAACCACCTCTCGTTCTTTTCAACAAACGAGAGAGGTGTACAGTCATCTCGGCGTAATTGCGTGAATACTTATGCAAATACGCCGCTAGCCCAAGGAATTTTCGAAGACCTTTGACATCGACCGGCACAGGCCAGTCGGTGATCGCCTTGATCTTTTCGGGATCAGGACGTACACCGTTCTTACCAACGATGCACCCAAGAAGTGGTATTTCGCTTGCTGCAAAAATACACTTCTTGAGGTTTGCATACAATTGATGCTTTCGCATGATTGTAAGAACTTGTCGGACGTGGTACTTGTGAACCTCAACGTCCGACTTTCCATCCATAGCTCGACTATGGATGAATACGTCATCGAAATAACTCGGCGCGAATTCTCGTACTGGCCTCAACAGATGTGATACACACCTGTTGAACGTGGCAGGGGCATTACTGAGCCCTTGTGGCATTACTAGCCATTCCCAGAGCATGCCGCTAGGCGTGCTAACTGCGGTATAGGGTATATCCCGTTCCCGCATTAGGATTTGATAGAAGCCATCCATCAAATCCATGGACGAAAAGATGGTACTCTTTGACATACCATCAATGATTACGTCCTTCCTCGGTATCGGCGTCTGGGCCGGTACCGTTGCAGCGTTCAATTTGTTAAACGCGTGCACTATCCGCCACCCTCCTGTTGCTTTTCGCACACAGAAGGTCGGAGAGCTATGTGGGGAAGTTGATTCCCTCACATGGCCTGGCTGCTAAACGATCGGCAAAGAACTTGTCGATCGCAAGTACTTGTTCACGAGGCAGTGGCCACTGCTTCATGACACAGTACTTCGAGCCTGGTTTAAGCTCGACTTCGTGTCGAATACCTTTATCCTTCGGTAATTCGCACGGAACAGTTTCAGGGAATACATCCTTGAATTCAACCAAATCCTCATAGAGAGGGTTTTCCTTGAGCGATTCCCATGATTGGGACTCATATCGCTCAATTCGTGTCTTTCATCTAGGACACTCTCGTCCATAGATGAACTACTGAGAACTCTCTCGTTCTCAGTAAACACTGTTGCTGACCTTATGTCGGTTACACACTCGTCGTCAGCGACGAGTATGCAGATCTGCTTGACTTTGCCACTACGCAGATCACGCAAGAACCTTTTATGTTCGAGCGTTGGCAACTGAGTGATCTCCGAAGTTAACTTCGGAGGCGCAATCAGATCAAGTGTATAAGCGCCTACACATGATCCGTTATTGACTATGACATTCAATGTCTCTGTCATTTCCTGGGGACTTATTCCCTCAGGCTTCGAAGGACTTATTCCTTCGTCTTCCCGGGGACTTATTCCCGCGGGGTTTCGGGGAACTTATTTCCGCCGTATTTGTAATCTTGGGACTTATTCCCTTTATTTCCTCTAGCTGGGGTTGCGCAACCACAGCGAGATCCTCTACGAAAGACTCTCCAGTCGATCTAGGATTATCGTTTCGCTTAACCTGAGCGATCGATTGTTTCTCTTCTAGATGTTCCCCTCTAGGGATACATCTTTGTCCCAGTCCACCCGACTTATTCGAGTGGTGGACCTTCGGCGCAGCCTGTGTTTCCTCACAGCCGCCGGAACTTTGCTCCGAAGTGTAACCGTTTGGTACACTAAGGTTTTGTGCAGTCGTACTAACGACCGTACCACAAGTGAGGCCATCGCACTCACTCGTAGTACATCCACACGCTTGTGGACGCTCCAAAACGTTCATCAGATGGCCATCTGATGAACAAGCGGCAGGCATCGTTACTGTCCGATGTTGCCAGTTTACCCGTGGTTCGTACCTTCTGAGCCACGGTATTCCAAGGATGACATCAAATTTGTCATCCAAATCCAATACGATAAAGTCATCGTCATATTGGGTATCTTCTAGCGTATAGTGAATCTTCACTATACGCTTCATGACGGTTACGGATGCGCCTGTCGCAAGACGTACCGTCATCCTCGTAGGAGGTGTGTCACATTCACTGAATTTAAAGTGACCATCTTCTAGCGATTGGCGTCGCACAAAATTGTTGGACGCCCCACAATCGACTAGAGCTCGAAGGGACAACTTATTCGTCACTTCGAGTTTCAAGGTAATGAGTGAGATCTCATTACCTAGAGCAGCAACGCACAATGTCTGTGTGTTGGGAGCAACCTTCATCAAGAGGCCTACAAATTCTCTTGACGTTGCTGGATCAGTAGGGTGCTCCGCACCTACTGATCCTGTCCGTTTTTTGACGGTCCATCCCGTTGTTGCGTCTTTGCACCAACTGCGGACCCTCGTCCCTGCCCCTTTCTCATGGGTGGACGGTCACTACGCCCAGTGTCGCGAGACACTGGACGAGGGGCACTACACTCGTAAGCGTAGTGTCCTGTCTTTTGACATCTGTTGCATCTCTGCAACTTCTTGTAGCCTGTAGAGCGAGCCTTCTCGCTCTCTACATAACAGAGTTCCATCGGCTCTGGACCTCCGTTGTCATATCGTCTCGGTTGACGATATGATGTCGAGCTGGCGCGAGCCTGTCTCAGACTGAAGTCTTCCTGCTCCGCAATTGAAATGGCTTGTTCTAGTGAATCTAGTTCAAGCCGGAACAGGTGAGTCTTGACGGGACCATCCGCAAGACCCTGCATGAACACCGAAACCAACGTGTGTTCATCCACCGGATTGGAACTTATACAACTCGTGAGATGTCGTATATGTTGAGCGTAAGCGTGCACATCACGCTTACCCTGCTTGAGCTTCAAGAGTTCGGTTCGAGCTCTGAACTCAGCTCTAGGCGGTTCAAACGTTTGTCTGAGCCGCGACTTGAAGACTTCTAGCGACCCAAACGCATATGGGTCGTGCAGCTTGAGCCCCAGTGCCCAAGTCTTGGCACGTCCTGCCAGATTTGACTGGGCAAATGCAACTTGCATATCCCCGTCGTCGATGCGACGCGCCCTTATGGCGTCATCCAATTCGACGAACCATCTCAGGAGGGAG